CTTTTCGAGAATAGCTCTCTAGTCATAGTTTATATTTTATTATATTACTTTTTTGCTCGTCATTAATTTGTAGTTGTAATTGGAGATGATGGACCATTCCATCTCCTTGGGACACCAAATTCGTGTCTATATCGTCCAAAAGATGCGTATGTGTTAGTTAGAGTCAAAAATATTAAAATTTTCGTAATATTAAATTTTTAAGCTTAAATAACGTTCGGTAAATATTACAGTAATTTCTTTTTTCGTCTTTATAATTTGTCATTTTCATCGTTTTTTATTAAATTTGCAATTTTTCTTTTGTATATAATGCATCTAAAAGTATTACATAATAATTAATAGATATTATTTTTTATAGTAACCTAATATTTGTACTTTTCCTATTTCTTTATTCTTATATATTTTATGTAAATGTAAAATCACGCGTTTAAATTTAATTTCATTACAACGGTAAATATAGAGATTTGATAAAAATAAATAAAAAAACTCAGTTGAAAAGTGCATCTGCGAATTGGATGATTTGTATGTTAGGCTATTGTATCACTTGATTGTATGATTAATATAGTTTTCTTTTTGTTACAGGTGATCATCGTTGAATTTATCATCTACTCGTTTTGATTTTATTCTACTTTTGTTTAAAATATATGTGTATAAAAAACGCATTTCTGAAGGCACACACGTATTTAGACACTAAAAATTAAATATAATTATTTTAAATTTTCTTACAATATATCTATACTATATATACTATCAAAGAATATTGTATTTTATATTGTACCGTCATCGCGCGTTAAGTACATACTATCGTCCAATGGTGGCCCTAGTGGTAACAAAAATGATGCTGGGTAGATAAAAAAGGGGACTTGGAAGTTTCTATATACTTCACCATAAAAAAGTTGGCATAGAACCGCAACTGCAGAAAAAAATGAAAAAATGAAAATATTTACGTATTGTTTATACATTATGAACGATTAACTTATTTCTTTTCACTACCCTATTGGTAGTTACTTTGGAAATCAACTTTAAATATATCCTCTGCAGGTATATCAACTTTACTTTCAGTTTTTTCCAAATGTGCTTGCGCCTTTAATTTGTGGTTGCGCATGTGTATAACACATTTTTTTCAACTAATTAACGATAAATGAAAAATATTTGATAAAATAAAGTTGAGCAAATAGTGAGAGCACTTATTAACGTTTTTCTCCTGTTAAGGTTCCTTGCTAGCGTTCCTACAGTCCAAGTGTCACTCTATATATAATATATTATTTATGATAAAAGTGTCATTTACATCCGTAATTTGAAGTATTTGATGAACATTTAAACAGGCTCGTACGCAGGGATCCTATAAGTTTCGTTCTTGTACGTAATTTTACCAGTTCTGTGAAAGACAATATTTGTAATAGATAAAGTTAAAAAGTGAAAAAGTTTAATTTTTGTTTGGACGTAAGATTTAACAATTTCAGTAAGAAGACATAAGTTTGTTGTAAGCGTGAATAATTGTCAGATATTCTTAACCTATTTTTTTTAAATACAATTACAATTTTATACAAAATGGATAATATATTTGGAAAAGAAGATTCGGAGAATGAAAGTGAACATGTAGAGTTAGATGATAAAGATGATAAAGATGATAAAGATGATAAAAATGATAAAAATGATAAATATGACAAATTCAATATTTCATTAAGTTCTGCAATATCTAAGGATAATGAAAATATAGATTTGGATAGTTTACCGATAAAGGTAAATTATTATATTAATAAATAATAATTCAAGGGATATAAATTCATCGCATTTATGTATTATGATCAGTATATTATTTTAGGGAGAACTTGATACTACGAGCTCCCAATCTCAATCCGATACAGAAGAAGTAGGTTCTAATTCCATATGTATGGTAGCAGATGATCAGTTGGAAATAGTAAAGCATGAAATTGAAACTAAAGAAGAAGAACCAAGTACAGAAGATATTTTTGGCAATGATATTATGTTACCGCATACTAATCATACAACTATTAAAGAAAGAAGAGAAAGTAAGGAAAAAAGTAAAAAGGAGTTGGAAGAGGAAGAAAGAGAGAAAATGCAGTAAATATGTCTTATTTTTTTTATTATAGATATAACATCATATACCTTGTTACTGCATTTTTCAAATGTTCTTTTCCAGAGTACTTGTTTCTAATTTTACAGAAGATCAGTTGGATAGATATGAAATGTATAGGCGAGCTGCGTTTCCAAAGGCAGCTATAAAGAGGGTAAATATAATAAAATAATGATAATAATGTTCTGTATTAATATATTACAAGTGTATACTAAGTTATCTTTTATATTGTAGATTATGCAAACAATAACAGGTTGTTCTGTATCTCAAAATGTTGTTATAGCTATGTCAGGAATTGCTAAAGTGTTTGTCGGTGAAATTGTAGAAGAAGGTAAACCTAATAATTCTTTTTATTTACATTTACATTTACATATAAAATTAATAATTATATGTTATGTTAAAGCTTTAGATGTAATGGAAACTAGTGGAGAAACCGGACCATTACAACCCAAACATTTAAGGGAAGCAGTTCGCAGATTAAGACTTCAGGGCCAAATTCCAAATGGTCGTGCGCATAAAGCATTCTTTAGATTGTAAATTAATATAGGATTTCATTTCCTTCATATAGTTTTTGTTTTTGTAGCAAAAGAAATAATTTTAGGTAGCAGAAATTGTATATAATATTAATTATAATATATTATAGTAATATGTCTGTATCTCAGAAAATTTATTGAATTTGCCTGTTTAAGAATATTATATTTATATTTTTATACTCTTATAAACGATATATTTATATAATATTTCCTGTGTTAAAAAATGAATATGTAGTTTTAAAAATAGAAATAATATCTATTTTATTAACAGCATATATACAGGATGTTTCATAATCATATATATAATAATATATATATATATATAATATTTAATAAAATAATAATTTATTATATATAATATAAGTATAAATGCAATAATATGTGAGACTCGCTTCAGAAACAATCAGAGGACACAAAAACGATGAAAAAAAAGTTCATATTACGAAACACCTTGTATATATTAAAGAGTGAATTAAAATGAATGATTTTTATAGATAACTTCTCTCTGTAATGAATTCATTGAAAAGTTACAATGTAATATATGTAATTATCTGTTTCACTATTGTAACCTGTGTATTTAACTTACAACTTTGATAGAATTTTTAGTTGCGAATGCATCGCACGAACGAACGAAACATGATATGCGAATGTTCTTCGCGTTATTGTTGACGCATTATTTTCATTTGGTAATATTACTAAGTATAGGTAATGAATTTATGTTCAACAGATTGGATGATATTAAATTTAGGAAGAAATGTATTCTTAAAGCGTATAAGGACATTAACTTCTGTTACAAAGATGATTATACGATACAAAAATGTGCTCATTCATTAACTAATCAAACTATATTTTTTCATAAACAAAAAGTAAGTTTTCACAAATATCGATTTCATTGAAATATGAAAGAATAATACTGTTAGTACTAAATATTCTTAAATATATTATATTTTAGATGATTCCTCTCAAATTACAATCAAGATATTTTTACACACCGCAAAAATGCATTCGTTCTCCTGATAAATATCATCACCGAAAGCTACTTATTTATGAAGAAAAAGATATTTCTAAATATCTTTCTACATCTAAAAAAGATTGGAAAACAAACGAAAAAACGACATCCCAATATTTTCATTTACGACAAAGAAAAGAGAGCGATTCTGAAGACGATGAAGATACAACTAACGAAGAATGTAACATGAATTAATGAAGCATTATGTAAGCGATATATTTCAATGTTTCTAATATATTTCTTATTTCAGATTCAGATGATTGGGATGATTGGGGTGCTTGGAGTCCATGCAGTGTAACTTGTGGATGCGGACAACAAGTTCGTTGGCGTCACTGCATTACAGATGATTGCGTTAAGGGTTTAAAAAGAGCGCAAATAAAAACTTGTCACCTTAAACCATGCGATAAAGGTTTCTTAAGTTGGTTGGGCATTAAGCTTAAATGAAACTTTTAAATCAAAAGAATCACAACGTCTATCATTAAGTGTTTATTACTTAACAAATTACGATTTTTTTTATGTTTATCTCATTCATTGAACATATTAGAATTTGTATTATTTTATAGTTTTATGTTCATAATTATTAAATAATATAAAAATTCTAAATGTATACGCGTATAGAGTTTTACTTACACAACTACTAATATTTATTAATAAATATGAAAAATGTCAGGAACAGACGATATTCAACTTTTTTTTCGGTTATCACAGGAAACCAAAATAGTTGTTTATAATAATACATTATACACGTTACGTAATACTTTTTATGCACACAAAATTTCTATAGTATAATAATTGTATACTTATTACAATCTAATTAAGGAAATCTATAACATCTAATTAATTTTTTATGTTTTTTTAGTTTTCAGATTGATTTTCCAAACGGTTGACATTAAAAAATTTCGACACAGTCGTAGCTCAACATTGAATTTATAAGACTATTTTGGATTTCGCATGAAAATGAGAAAAGATTCTAATCTATTTGTAGGAAAAGTTAATTAGCATTCAACCAACTTTATATGTAAGTATGTTATTTAAGTAACTAATTACCAACTCACAAATTACTGGTATTTATATTAAATTCTCTACAACCACATATTATGTGCTTTTAAACTTTGTTATTGAAATAGTAGATGAAAAATCGAATATCAATTAGGTATTACTTTGTTTTAAGTATTGGAACAAACTTTGTCGAGAAGGAAAATTTGCAATGCATTATAATCTAAAATATAAAGATTATTTTGCTTTGGTTTCATGTTTAGATATATTTATTTTTCTTATTATATGTTTTTCATTATTAATCTTTCTTTAATACATCATCCGTAAGAACTTTTAGGACATCGAGAATATTTTTTTTTTCGTAATATTTTCATTTTAAATATATATGAGAAGAATATATATACATAATTTAACATTTTGTCACTATCAAGACTAATATCTCATAAATAATAGGATTCGTATAATTAAATTTAACAAAACAAAAATTTAATAAAAATACAGCTTATTTTTGACTAATTTAAAGACATTAATAACGAAAATAATATTAATAATAATAAAATAATATAATAATAATAATATATAAAATATAAAAATACATACAAATACACACGCACGCCTTCATTTACAATAAATAGATATTAGTATATATAGTTGTTATACAGTTTACATTTTTACTGCAGTGAATGTGTAAGGAAAGTATACAAATTTAAACGTTTAAATTTAGTTTTGGAAAATTAGCCATAAATTTTATATGTAAAAAAAACATAAATGTCAAATCTAAAATTTGGTATTATAGTAAATTTTTATAGTTATTTCTTAAAAAGTATAAATTTATGATTGTTCGTTCATGGAAGACTTCACTTTATTACTCCGCATTGAAATAATCTTCTGTTTTGTAAATAGTTGAGGACTGGAATGTTTGCGGTTTGTTTCCTATCACAGATTCCTGGGATTTTTTCTGCAATAAGATTCTGCATAAGCAGTAAAATCTTATCCATCAAGTAGATATTATTTATACTTACGAAGAAGGATAATGGATTAAGAATACCAAAGAATCTATCTGTAACACCTAATTCAGCTTCTGCTGTGTCAACGGCTGTTTCTAAAGCTGTTAAACTTACATTAGCCGCTATAAGGACATGTTCGAGCGCATCTATTTTCCTACAAAGTGTTACTAATTCTTTTTGCATATGTCGTATCCTTGGAATGTGTTCGTTCATACATTCTGAACTATCTGCTTGGACCTTGGAACGAGAAAAAATATTATAAATAACTGAGTTATATTTAATAGATAAGCCAATCGTTTACCAAATTGATCAACTCCACGATATAATAATATATGTTGTATCAGTCAACAGCCTTGTCTTGTTAAAAAAAACTAGTTCCCATTGGATTACTAAAGTTAAACAACGATGAGTACAGTTAGTACTTGAATGGATAACCATTTTGATACACCATACGCTGTTGACCCTAGGGTTGTTAAGGCCAGAAGAGGCTGTTAGAAGGTGTCAAGGTCTCTCAAACCAATAAAATTGTATTTATTTAATGGTGTTAGCTATTAAGAAAATTTGTTCGAAAGATTAAAAGTTAAAATTCTAAGAATGGAGTTAATTGCTTTGGCCTGCGAATGGTTTATATACATGAATTAAATTATTAATTATTAAAAATATAATTCATATTTCTTTCTAACCATTCCAACGATGGATTGAAATTCTTCCAAACGTATCATAACATCTTCAATAGTTTCGTGAAATTGTTTCATCTGAAATAAAGAAAGAACTTTAAATTATTGACACGTGTATATAGAGAGCGAAAAGAATTTAAATGAAACATGATTTAAGGGTTATGCAATGCAAAGTACACTTGCCTTAACAGACAAGTTGACTTTTGCATAATCTGCATAATCCTTTGCTAGTTCTTCTATCATATTTTCGTTATGCGAGGAAGACATGTGTTCGGAAATTTTTAAATAATAAATCTACGATAATGTTTAATAACGTTGGAAGGAGGATCTTAACACACGCACTATTATTGGTGTTACACAATGTTAATTATGATATTTTTAAACGATAGGATATTATCGAGTAAATTTTACGGGCGGAAAGCAAATTCCAAGATTTCTTGAATTTTATTTTACTTTTTATTGTTTTTTTTTCCCCTAAAATTAAATATTAATTAAGGCCAGCTTTACTTCGATCTCGATGCGCATGCGCATCGACAAGTGTTTCATCGATATATCGAAGTAAAGCGCGGATTTGAATGTATATTTAATTTACAATAAGAAGATAAAAAACCAATATGTTTTTTAATCGTGTCAAGGAGCTGAATAATTCATTTACATATCTGTTAGGTTGTGTCATTTTTTTTTTATATTACGTACATTTTCTATTTTTTCACCTTATTTAATAATCTTTTGTATGCATCAAGGCGTGTAAATTGCAAGGAGTTATGAAAAAAAGTAAATAATGATTATTTGTCTTCGTTTTCTTACTTATCGGATAAAGAAAAAATGTAAAATTGTTTTAAAAATGTGAATTATTACAATGTATTCATCGATACTCGCGTAACATATTTTTTCGTAAGAAATTTTCGAGACAACATTACGAAAAATGTTTTCGTAATATTTCATACTTTCACTTAGCAATGGTCCTATATTTTTCTTTTTTTTTTCTTTTTAGTACGGTCGGTATTCTGTTTTCGATTTCTCTGTAGCTTTCTCACACCGTGATAATAGATCCAATACGTACTTTTCACTCTTACAAGAGATCCAGTTTTCTTTTATCTGATGTTTTCTCATGCGACTGTTCTGTTGACGTGGAGTTTGAGATAAAATTGCAACCTATTTTTTATATATATATATTTTGTTATTTTGACGTTAAGTTTAGATGAAGTTATAAATAGTATCATATATTTTTTTTTTAACGCAATTCAACAAATAGCGTTTCTTTATACACAATACAAATTAATATTATTCGGATAGATTACGAATTTCTTGTAGTATTATCATTAATAGTCAATAGCTTTATAGCAAGGCAGATTATAATTTAAAATAAAGAATTAAAAATTGTGAAATTTGTAACTAATGCTGACTCATTGAACATTTGGAATGTAAATATGTAGGAAATATGTACAATGCTGACATTGTATGTATGTAACTATGAAAAAGTTCAAAATATCATGCATTTTTATATGCGCAGTTAACCGAGGAGTAGTAGGAATAACAATAAAGTGAACGGAAAGTTTATCGGTAATCTGTTTGTCAGTAAGGCTGCATAAAAAATAACAATGACATTAAAATATTATTTTCAATCTTTTTAACGAATACCATATTTATTCTTGGTAAATATTGTACATTGGAGAGGATGTAAAAATGTTTAAGAATTCTTAAATATATTTAACTTATATTTTAAGACTCGAGTTTAATTTAGGTGAAAACTGAACAAATATACTCGTTCATCGTTAATAGTTATTAATTAACATAGAAATACAAAGATGTAAAATAAAGGATACTTTGTTTAAGTATACACTGCTTAAATATGATGTAATAAACTTACGTCAATATTTTATTTATTTTTATTTTTCTTTTGTACCAAAATGACGAATTTGCGCAAATATATGAAGTGTATTGTAATTTAAAATATTATTTTGTAATGAAACTGCACGGGTCATTTGTGATCAGTATTATTATGTTGTTTTTTTATTTAATTTCAGAATTCTTGCGTCCATAGTAAAACATATAAAGCTTGCGTCGCAGACAACGAATTAAGGATTTAGTGTTTATAGAGTACAGTGTAATATATTCTGGAGAAATCATAGAAAGAAAACGAACAAGAAAGACGATAAGAAATAAATAAAAATAAAATAGAAAGAGAAAGTTCATCATTTTATTTCTGTAGAGAATTTTAATTATATAAAAATTTAATTAAATTCCGTTTTTTTTATACGTAAATTATTATTCATATTATAATAATCTTTTTAATTATTGAAACAACAAGCAAAAAGACTTATACGCAAGCATTGATAGTTTTATTTTCGTAGTATTCGTGCAAAATTTCATTTATGGACATACCAAAAAATTCCACATTTTTGTTGTTACTTTTAAAGTCCTTTAGAAGTTCCAGTTAAAAGAGAGAAAATAAAAGTGCATATACCTAAGTGCAACTTCTACTATATTCTGACATATATTTCGAAAGCAGAGTTAAAGAATTTGTTTTTTCATTCGGTACGTAACATCGAATCCGTTACTCTAACTTAAAAAAGATAAAGATCTTTCGTAAATTACGTTTTAATTTTTTGTAAATAGATTTCAGACAAATATAATAAATGAAATGTTATAAATTCTAATCAATTCTACGCGATGTGGTTTTAGAATAATTATTTATCGAATAGAATAATTTGAGTTTTTTTTCCAATTTATAGGGGGATTAATAAGAAAATTGACATCGAAGAAAAACGTTCTTATTCTCGTTAAAAAAAAAAAAGAAATGTTTCAATTATTTAATATTTACAATATAATTTCAATCTTTGATCAATATAATTTCAATCTTTTCATTATCCTTAGAGTGTTTTCTTTTTTCAAATAATAACTTTCTAAATTAAAAAGAAAAACGAGTGTAACAACAAATCGATTGAAAATTAATCGAACGTTGAAGATATTTAACGAGAAATTTATTTAGTTTGTTATTAGAGTAGGAATTATTTTCTAATAGTTTGTTTTTTTTCTTTTTCTTTTTTACATTTTAATTGTACATATATTATGATCATCTCTAAAGACCGCTTATAAATAATATATCTTCAATTAAATCTAGCATACCAGGTTATTTAGTAAACAAAAAAAAAAGAGGAATTCATGTAACAATAATTAAATACATTCATTTAACAAAATACGCCTAAAAACCTTAAATAATGACTATTTCGCATTGTTAATGTGGTGGGAGAGAACATAGCCAGTCACGTATCCGGTTTGAGATAATTTATAGTATACACGGTACAAAAGTTAATGAAAGGCTGCGTAAGAGCTCAGTGAGTTCTTCAACTTTGTGTCGTTAATACATCTTTCGCGGTCGATTTTTTGTGTGATATTTGTTTCACATATTGGTTCTTTATTATTCGTATTTAGTGTCTAATATACTTGCATTGTGGAAAGTACGATTGATTTTTTTCTGTGTAAAAAAAAACTCGTCGTTATAAAAGGTGAAAAAGTTTATTGCAACTATTCACGCATTTGTATGATGTCATGTATCCAAAATTCACGTTATATCATCTCAACTTTCGTAATTATTAAAAAATTTGATACAGGATTGAGGAAAAGTTCATTCATAGGCTTGTAATATTTCTTACACGAAGAAATGTTAAACAAAGTTTTTATCTACCGAAGGTGAAAAAAAAATCATTCTTACCAGACGTTACATATTTTAAATAACACACGAGTTCGGAACAACATCTTACAGTTATTTATCTCCTTCTTCTCTCGTTTAAAGCGGATATAAATGTCAGTTCGTAAAGTATCTCTGTATATATACCATAAATTTATCGATGGTTTCATTCATAGTTGTTTATAGATTACAAACACGTAATCGGGATGTGTAAGATACCTCTGACATCGTGTACATTCAAATTGAAATTTACGATCAAATTCTATAGGGTGATGATTTTGTTTATATACGACATTGATATTACTCTCTACGACGATTTTAACAATAATTGTATTTAGCGTTAACAAACCAAAAAAATAAAATATAAAATAACAGCGTTCGATAATCACTAATTTCCGTATAAACAAAAAAACTATTTCATTATTATTTTTATAATTTTATATTTTGTCTTATTATTGGCTATAGAATGCAAGACGTTGATATCGCAAAGTGCTGATGCAACAAATTATTTCAATAAATAATTTTATACTAAGAATTTCGAATATTTCTTTTGATGTTGGCCAATCTCTATAGGATATCCATGAGTGAAAAAAATTTCTATTAAAATAATGTTTTTTTCATATGACTCAACATAATTTCATCATTGTAGATGGAACGAAATGATTTGAAGTTTAACATAGATTTTTGATTAGTTGAACCGCTTCTTGTTTGCTTGTTAAACTAGTTCCGCGTTAAGAGAAAGGTGCTTTCGTCATGTAAGTGATTTAATGTTTTATTATAACAGTTGTTTTTTTTTTTTTTTGATATCTTTAGTGTGCTCACGGTTCGTTAATTCAATGAAGAGTTATCATTTTAGAGGAATAAATAATATTTAGAAAAAGAAAAAAGAAAATTTGGCTTCGGTTATTGAAAATAATTTTCAAACGGAGTCATCGAGGATGATAAATATTAGATAAATATTACAAATTGTTTTTTATTCCTTGTTGGATAGATCAAAACAAGTTGACAAATTTTGTTTTGAATTTCTTTTTTTTTTTTTTTTTGTATAAAATAAAGTGACAAATCAAGTATTTATTTCTGATCGAGCTATAAAAGAATTCTATAAATCATTCTATAAATCATTCATTAGATTAAACCTTATGCCTATGTTTATCACTAAACCAGTCTTTCAGTCGACTTTCAACTATTTTCACCTATACTTTCACCTATTTACAGTTAAATCTTCCTAGTGGAACGTCTTACTTGGAACATCGCTTGTTTTCTTTTCTTTTTTTCTTTTTTTTAAGATTGAAAAATTACCAGTTAAATTCATTGAAAATATAATCTAATAACGAATTTGAATTCTCGTTTATATGTTTCCTCCATGCAAATCCACAAACGGTCTGAAATTTTCCGATGAATTAATCTTCAACTAACAATCTCGTTTGTTATAGAAAGAAATCATGGAGGAAAAAAGCGAAATACAGTCGTATTATAACGGCAAAACTATTTTCATTACCGGTGGTTCCGGTTTTATGGGAAAGGTTCTTATTGAGAAATTGCTTTATAGCTGCAGCGACCTTGACAAAATTTATATGTTAATAAGATCGAAAAGAGGCATCAGTCCTGACATACGTATCACTCAGATATTCAAATTACCGGTGAGTTTTGCGTATAAATTTAAAAGGTATCGTTAAGAAACGGGATTACATATTTTTTTTCAGATGTTTGCAAGAATCCGTAAAGAAAAGCCAGAAGTTTTCAAAAAATTGATACCTATAATTGGAGATATTTCTTTGATTAATCTTGGTCTGAGTGACGAACAACGAGAAATGTTAATTAACGAAACTCAAATAGTCTTTCATGTAGCAGCCATGGTTAAATTGGACACAACATTGAAACAAGCGGTCGATTTTAATTTGGTAAAACTATTGATATTTGGAATAAGTTTCTTTTTTTTCTCTCTCTTTTTATATCGCATCTAAATGAATTTTCTTTCCTTTTTCCCGTTTCATTAAATATTACGACATATAATTTATCAAATATTAATACCTCGGATACGAAGATGTAACATTGAAGTTACATAGATTCGAAGCTTATTTAACACTAAAAAACCTACCCTTATTTCATGTATATACCTATTCATATTAATTTAATATTTATAAAAAAAACCATATATCTTAAAACGGAAGGAGATTTTAGCCAATTGGATAGCGAATTAAATATTTTCTTTCCTTTAGAAATGAATAATGTCTATTTTCTTTTTATAAATTACGCAATCATTTAACCGCGCGTGGTAGATTTAGTGTTAAAAAGTTTGCCAATTTTTTAGTTCCTCAGAAATTAAACGATAATGGGTTTGTTATTAAAGATTGGGACCAAGAGAATGTTGGATCTGAGCAGGGATATGAAAAAGTTAGAAGTTTTCGTACACTTGAGCACGGCATTTTGTCATGTCGATCAGGTGGAACTAGGTGAACGAGTTTACGATTCAACAGACGATCCTCAAGACGTAATAAGACTTGTTCAGTGGTTGGACGAGGAAATCATCGATTTTATCACGCCTAAGTATAATTAATTCGACATTATTATATTTATTTCATTCATTCATGTCATCCATCAATACCGTTTATTTTTATTTCTTTTTTTTTTTTTTTTTATATTGCTGATAAATATAAGCAATATTGTATCTGTCACCTAATTGATTAATTACCTTTGAGATTCAACATTTGATAAATGCGAGAATTAATCTAGAAAAAAAAGTATAATCGACATTTTAGTATCTTTGAAAATTGTTTCGATCATATTTTATCTCGCAGAGGGTTAATTTATTTCATATGTTTTCTTCTTTTTTTCTAAATTATTTAACTCGTTCAATAGAATAAGATTTATATTGTATTATGTAATTTCTTGATTTTATTATTTTTATGATTCTAGATTGATAGCTCCGCATCCGAATACTTATACGTACACAAAACGTTTGACGGAGAAAATAGTAACCGATGAGTATCCTAACATGCCAGTCGTCATAACGAGACCTTCCATTGGTAAATATAAGAAATATTTAATGCGAAGGGTTGAGAACTTTTGCAAGATTCTGCTATTGCTTTCTCTCTCTCTTTTTCCTGACAAGAATTTTGATAAAAGATGATGTAGTAGAGGAACGTAGTTTATTCGATCAATGCGATCATGTGTTATAAAGAAAGTCATATATAAACCGATCCTTTGGTATTTAGAGGATTTTATGTATATTTGAGGAAGATTTATTGTTATACGACTAGATACGCGATAAATTTTGAAAGATTTTGTTGGTATATACATGTAAATAAAAATATATGCGCAAACATATATTAATAGTTAAGAAGTTTTCGAATTTTGCTTTTTAATTTGACAATTTTCTTAACTTGTTTTAATATAACATGGAATATTATCTATAATTGTATAAGCTAATGTAAAGAATATTTAATAATGAATTTCAACAAAAAATCTTTTTTTCGATGAAGAAATTAGATAATTTTACGATTACAGAATATTTTCTATCCATTGGGTTTTGAATTATTTTCATTGTTCATGTCAAATAGATGTGTTTTCAAAATCTAGTGTTAAATAAATAGAAGAAGAAGAAGAAGAAGATAAAAAAAGAGGCGAAGTAAACGTACTTATTAGATATTAAATCGAAGAGTTAATAACACTGGTTATTACAGTTGTACCGGCTGTTAAAGAACCTTTGCCAGGTTGGGTGGATAATTTAAACGGACCAATAGGTATGATGATTGCTTCCGGAAAAGGTGTATTGAGAACGATGCATTGCGATCCTGATTATTGTGCCGAAGTTATGCCCGTTGATTTTGCTATTAATGCATTGATTACGATCGCTTATAAGGAAGCTTCAAATAGGAACAAGTAAGTTAAACATTTAATTATTAAATAATTTCTTTTTATTTTAATTAATTGTTAATTAATTGTTAATTAATTGTTAAGAACACACACACACACAATTTCATTGATGTTTAATATAATATTAAGTAAATAATAACATCGTGATTATTTTTAATCGCAGATCGAAAAACATTCCGGTTTATAACGTTACGCAAAACTCCATTGAACGAATGTCCTGGGGTAAACTTATAGAAAATGGTAGATATATTATTAACAAGTATCCATTTGATGGAATGCTTTGGTATCCGGACGGCAACCTACGGAAAAGCAAATGGGTTCACGATATTATGCATTTCTTCTTTCATATCATACCGGCTTACTTTATCGATTTCTTGCTGTTAATATTTTTGCAACAAAGATTGTAAGTATAAATTATAAATACACGAAGTTTGCGTATGAAGTACTGACGAAGAAGTCTGGATTATTTATTCCGGATCATTTATTTTTGTTCCAGTATGGTACGTCTTCAAAAAAAGATTGCGAATGGCCTTAATTTATTGGAATATTTTACTACGCGAGAATGGTACTTTCACAATACGAATTTACTAATACTTTCGGGTGAGATGAATTCGAAGGATAAAGAACTTTTCCAAATTGATGGATCCAAAGTCAACCAGATAGAATTCATGAAGACCAGTATATTGGGAGCTAGACAATATTGCTTGAAGGATGATCTCTCTACTGTACCGAGAGCACGGATGCAACTAAAGATGTAAGTATCTTAAATGCTACAGAATTTTTATTATAGTATTTTTATATTATCTTTTATTCTCCCCGTTTTTTCTCAATTTAAACTTTTAGGCCCTATATATCGAAGAGCCCTTATCGAATTTGAATTCGTAGAAATTTTTGTTGTTTTCTTTTGTTTTGTTTTTTTACAAAAGTTACGATTCCAAATGATTCATTGACAAATGCGGCCCTATTTTTTCTAATTTTGTTTTTTTCTTTTTTTTTTTAGACTGTACATCATTCATAATATAGTACTATTCTGCTTCTACTTCGGCATATTTTATTTCCTTTACACGCACTTGGAGTTTGTTCGAGTTTATGTGAATTACATCACGGATAAGATAAAAATGCTTCCAATGATGGGAAATATTATAAGGGAGACTCGTATTTAAGAAAAATAATCGACAAAAAAAAAATTTGTTTATTTACAATTTCTCTATATCGTTCGAATATTTTTCTATAATCATTTTCTTTTTTTTCTTTTTCAACTTTATCAAATACTGTGATATAGGTTTGTATGATATGAAAAGGTATGTGACCATGTGAGTGGTGTACTTTTTCTTAAGTTTTAAGAAAAAGATGGGCTAATAGGAAAAACAACATTTTTCCTAACGAGATAATCTTCCTTTTTAAATAGCTAAAAAGGACTTTCTTATTATTTTCATACTTTCTTAATTAAAAGAAGATCAATAATGTAGTACGTGAACCTTCCAAAATATGGATGCACTTACTAATGCTAAAGTAATGGAAAAGAAAAAGAAGAAAATAATAGAAAAGGATTTTCGAAGAATGGATAAATATACTATAATAAATACAGTTTTAAACTGTATAGGGAAATTTTATGTATGTACATATCTAAATATTAAATCTTTCCTATGCGTTATATTTTTTATGGTGATACATGCATACATTATATATATAGAAGTAATATATTACGTTTGTATCATTTTAATTTCAAGTTGAATAAAGAATATTTTGGGTAGAGGATAATGAAGGTGAATAATTCGTTAATACGTTACTTGCCAAATAAAAATGGCACACGTGGCAGGAAACGTGTTAAATAATATAACTCTTATCTTATAATATTATTTACCGAGATACGTAATATATTATAAGGTAGGAGATTAAGTAAGAACTTAAATGATCCTATTGTTTGCTGAGATGTTTAATAAGGTAGAAAAAAAAGTGTGATATAAAAGAACCAAAAAACGCGTAATATAAGCACGCAGAGATATATACAGGTATTACACTTACGTATCGTTGCACGATGCATTGATTTTCACGTTAAAAGGTATCATTATTAACTCGCCTTTACGGTCACCGACGGAGAACGTATTACACTTTTTCAAAACTTTTCCGCTATCACATTATGTATCATACTATCGTTATAATTATCGTTCGGACTCGAGAACGTTAATGGAATAAGAAGAAATAATTATTCTTACTAAACTTTAACAAGGACTATTTATTTTTTCAGTATTTTAAAATAATCCTTGGTAATTATTTTTTAAAATAAGTGTTCGATGTATATGATTGAGTCCGGTATATGTAAATAATTAAGTTTCGATATATGCAACTTCAACTGGAACTGCAACTGCAACTGCAACTGCAACTGCAAATGCAACTGCAAATGCAACTGCAACTGCAAATGCAACTGCAACTGCAACTGCAACTGCATTTTTGCTCTTTTTAAATATAGATAATAGGCAAGCAGTTAGTATACTTTTCTGAGTGAATGTGAAAACTTTAATTTTAAACAGGTAGAATCCGAGAAAGGTACTGTGTATGATTCCACCGAGGAATAAAAGTGCTCATACAGAATCATCACATGAATCATCTTTTCTATTTTATTATACTTGCGTTGCAAATTTATTTTGTGACTCTTCTATAATATTTATTATGTATCATGATTTGAAACCATTTGAAAGATTCATTTCTATCTCGATTCTATCTCGAATGAGGAAAGCCTTTGATGAATTTAATACTTTGTTTTAAGTATAATAAAATTAACACTTTGCACAATTGGGATTTTGTCTTAGTAAATTAAAATTATCTAAAAAATATTTTCTTAAGAAAATATACATTGAAATAGTTTTCTAATTTATCGTTAGATGATTTCAAAAGTTAATCTCTCTTTTTTTTGTCTTCGCAGAAACCAAACATATTACTGAAGCATTGTTCATCAAAATTAGTTCCAAATTAATTATTACAGATAAAGTATTTTATTTGGAATTTTATTTTATTTATTTTTTTTTCAATACTTATATTTAATCTATATTATAATAAATATCATTTCTAGAGTTACAAACGCGACTTTAATCGTATAATTTTTATGAATAATTTTATTTTTAATAATAATATTTTAATGTTTGGAAAATTTAGATTTTTGATCAAAATTGATGATGGTGTCAAGAAAAAGAGGAGAAGAAAAAAAGAAAAATAGACGATGATAAGGTAAACATTTTCGCTGCATATAAATCCGCAATTTAGTTATATCATACTCTTTAAATAACAAGAAAGGAAGAAAGAGAGATAGAGAGAGAGAGAGAAAGAGAGAGAGAGAGAGAGAAAAAGGATAAAAAAAGAAACTGGAGATTTAACCGTCGGAAAAAGTCAATCATGCTATGAGAATTGTTCGCGATCAAGCTTGAAACCGTATTTTCTCGAGTTTTGCTTTTATATATAAAAAAAAATATATATATATCTATGACGTTTTATAAATAAAATTAAAACGAAGAGACAGAGAGAGAGAGAGAGAGAGAGAGAGAGAGAGAAATAAATAGACTTCATATTTTTTCTTCACATTTTTGTTTGGAAGAAAACCTATCACTTTCAGAATCGGTATTTTGTAAAAGTCTTTACTTAAGCGTTTTATATCACGGTAGTAGAGAGGTAGGTAGTACGATCATAAAGAAATGAAACGTATTTTGTAGGATTTATTGAAATAAAACGTGAAACTAAAAAGAGAGAGAGAGAGATAGAGAGAGAAAAATAGAAAAAGGGTGAAAAAGAAATCGTGATAGAAATAAAAACGGTGAGGTGGGGTGGGGGGTGGGGGTACAAGGGTTTGATGTTACGACAAATAATACGATTAGGAAGAAAATGATCGAATTTTCATAAATATAGTCAGCTCTTAGAGAAATAATATGCATATATTATAAAAAAAAATCAAATAAAATAAAAATAAATTGTTCGAAGAGTGTGTGAAGCAACAGTTGTTAGTTCCAAATCGTATGGTAGGATGGCGCTGAGAAATCCCAGCCAAACCCCATTCCATTATTGATCCACCCCCGCACACCCCCAAGAACACGGACCACCACTTTGTCTTTCCAAAGAAGCTTACCAGAGCTCTCTACTCGCTTCGCTGACCTTCGTGTCTAAACTTCACTTCGTATATATGTAATACGTATACGTAGTAGGTACTTTTCCTTAGGTACTATTAAAATTCCATCTGGGAGAGAATCGAGATTGACCCCGATTCACGCTACCCTATCACAGATTTACTCTACGATCAGAAAAATCCCTGGATGCTCTTTCTTTCTTTTCGTACTAATTTTTTGTTGCTATAATACGAATAGGATGTATATAATACGTTTACTTATTTATTTACGTATATATGTATCTATGTATGCGTGTATTTGCATAATTATTTTTATACGTCCTTGCAAAAGGCAAGGATTATACTTACTATGATATGATATGATATATATATATATATATATATACGTATTTTAAAAAATTTTATATGATTTTATATATAAACTCTAGGATTTTTCATTTATTTGCTTATTTTCTATCTTTCTTTCTTTTTTTCTCTCTCTTTTTTTCGACAGAAACTTTCTTAATTCTACTTTTAATTAAGTTACTTAGCAAAGGATCTCACTATCTAAGTTTGGATATTGACTATAGGTATAAATAAACGATTTTAACATTTAAATATGATTTGTAAACTTTAGATCTCTGTTTTCTTAAGATCCCCATTTGTGTCATTAGAAAGTGTTTAAATATGTGTGAGAAAGTTACTGCGTTAGATTCTTTTATTTACTTATCCTTTTTATCTAGATTGCTTTTGGAAATTGAACTTGACTATCGGTTGATTATCGAGTTCGATGCAATTTTCGAGCTAAACGTGAACCGAGAAAAAGATTAGAGATACGATAACTGCATAATTGCATAGCCACTTGCTCTTACCTATAATTAGACGTTTATTGCTTGTACATTTTTTCTTCTTTTTCTTTTACCTTTTTTCTTTTTCTTTCTTTTTTTTTTTTGGTTAACATTTAACAATGTATTAACACATCGGGAGGATGAAGTAAAGGGTTAATCGTTTAATTCCATCAGTCTACTCATAACGTTTGACCTATTCTCCGTTCGTTCTACCGCAAATAAACCACTTTCTAACCACTTTATGAAGCAATTTATTCGGAAAATGTTAGGAAGATATTTCTAATAAAATTAAAACCAAAAAAAAGGATCAGAAAATTCTAACACTTATTTCTTACGATTTATAAAAAAGAAAAGAAAAGGGTTTTCTTTTTTATTTCTTTTTATCGAATATCTTATATCGAATCATTTGTTTTCTTTATTAATTCGTGCACGTAGGAAAGAAATATTAGAAAACAAAAATAATAAATCATGCGGATGAGAATAATCAATTTTATTTATTCGCTATAAAACACATAAGTCAGTATAATATATCTAGTTAATAATAATAATAATGAAATTTGATATATACACACACACACACACACATCAGAATCTTATAAGATGGTTAGATTTAAAGGAATTGTGAAGGAAGTAAGATTTTTCGTGCGAACCCAACTCTTACAAATGATACAGGTCACGCGATACTGATAAAGCAAATATTATTTTTTCTTTTTCTTTTCTTAGTGCGAGCTTAGTCTACCTTGAAAAGTTTTTTTATCTTTGCAAAATATTTTACTGAAATCTCGACTTTTTTTTTTTGTTCTTTTTTATATAAATATTTTTTTGTATAATATAACAATTCGATTAAAATTAGACGTTGTACGTATAGAATTAGATTTAAATACATATGTTCGATATGCGGAATGATTTTTAACATGAGTTCCTCGTGTTCTCCTACGCGTTTGTTCAACCAACATATCAAATATTCTCTTTGTACATAGGAATCCAGGTAATTAAGCAAATCAGAAGGAAAACGAGTAAGAACCTTTCTAGAAACATTGAAATAATACCAATGAGGCTTTATAATTAAACAAAATTCTGTATTTCTGACTATATTTTATTGTTTTGCGCTAACGTTCATCCAATTAAAGAGCCTTTCATCATTTATCAAAAACCCCACACGCAATTTATAATTAGTACGTTTGAATAAACTCTCTCTTTCATATTTTTCTATCTATGGATAAAGATTAAAAAACGTAGATGTTATTCGTCGGAATCAACGTTAATTCAATTTAAGACATTCTGTGTAATTTTTTTTTACAGAGATCATTTTTCAATGCTTTTCGTTCTCGACTCGTGATATCATTCATTTTCATAAAAACTTTTGAAAAATTCGATTGAATTAGACACACAATGTATTATAAAAATTAACTAATCATATATAAATCATTTTAACAATATTATATATACTTACAATTAAAAATTAAATAACAATATATATATATATATATATATATATATATTGATTAGTAAATGAATGATATAAAATTATTAAAAAATTATTTCAATAACTTAACGATAAAACGTTAAAAAATGACAAATGTATTTTAAAGTCCTTAATTGTTTATAGTTTTGTTGGTTTATTTGTTTTCTTTTTTTTTAATCTCCCTATTGCAGTAAGATTTTTTGTTGTATCATGGCATTACGCTAATTAATGCTATGATTGTTGGCAAAGGTGCGTACACGTTGATAAATAAGTACCTTCATGATACGTTACGCGTATTTGGAATGTAGAACGAATACGAGTCGCGTCTGCGCGAAATGTTCCGCTTGGTTCAGAGGTT